TTGCTTATTGAAGGGGCCATAAAACTTCACTTAGGACACCCCCAAAGACCTTCAGAGAAGTGTCATTCTCAGGTGCTGGCTTCCCTTGGCTCCTGTGGGTTTTCTTGTTTTGAATGTTGTCAAGCCACCAGCGAGGAGGATTGTTGGGCGTGGGGGGATGGGAAGGGCTGACGGTGCGCAGGTGGGCAGAGGGAAGAGGCAGTCCTGTGTTAACTCTGAACGGTCTTCCTGTGAGGAAAGAAGATTCATGAGAGTAGGCCAAGGTGAGTGATTGCCATCCTGGGGGAAGAGCGCCAGCAGGAAAGACCCGCCTTCTTTGAGTGGCCACCATGTGCAGGGCACCGCGTGCATGGTTCGTTGGATCTTCGTGACCTTGTGAAGCGTACGTGTTTCAGTCCCATTTCACAGAGGAGGACACTGAGACTTGAAGATCTCACAGCTACTAAGTGGCAGAGCTGGGAGTCGAACCCAGGCCCAAGAGTTGTTGCTCCCCCGCTACACAAAAGCAACAATGTGGTTCCATGCTGGGTTGTCTGGGGCTAGTTCAGGGGTTTAGAGAAGGAATGCCATGTGCGGGAGAGGTGGGCGTACCTGTGGTAAAGTCAGTCAGCCCGGTGACATGTAGCAGTGTGTGCAACGGAGGGTTGGGTCATGGAGGGACCTCAGCATTGTTTCTGGGAACAAAGAACTGTATGACTAGACACTTAAACCCAGTTCCTTAATAGGATTTCCCTTTCCTTAAAAGCTGGAGCATCCCAAAGGGAAGAGTTGGACAGGACTTGGGGGACAAAGTGGTTGCATTCCGTTGAGCCTGAGGCTGAGTGTGCATGAGGGGTGAGAACCATATCTTAGCCACCTGCATTTCCAGCCCCCGGCACGTGGTAGGCGCTTGGGACAGGTACCAGCCTCAAGAGGGGCCCCAGTGACCCTATGTGGTCCCTTCCTGTGGCTGAATTGGGGCTGGCCTGGTGTGGTCAATGGAATGAGGCAGAAGTGGGGGGTGATGTGTGACTCTCAGGCTTGGTCAGGAAAGGCGTCATGCCTCCCACTTTGGCTCTGGGTGCAGCCAGCCTGCCTGCCTTGCGTGAGGGTCCTCATGCAGTCCTGTGGAGAGGAGCTGAGCCCTGTGGCCAGTAGCCCATCCAGCCTCCCAGCCACCTGCGTAAGGCACCTTGGAAGTGACCCTACAGCCCCAGTCAGGCCTTTGGATGATGCAGCCCCAGCCGACATCTGACTGCAGCCACTTCAGAGACCCCAAATGTGTGCTGCCCAGCCGAGCTCCTCCCAAATCCTGACCCACAGAATCTGTGAGTACTGTACATGATTGTATTAGGCCTCTAAGTTTTGGGGTAACTTGTTCTGCAGTGTTACGTAGCCGGTACTGTTCCACGGTGACTGAGAGACTCCCAGCAGATTGATGCATTTCTGCTTGTGTGTTAGTCTAGGCTTTCTTGGTTTCAAGTAATAGAAACCCAACTCCAACTAGCTTAAGCAACATGGGCCATGTCATTGATGATGTAATTGAAGAATCCAGGCTTAATGCATGGCTGGATCCAGGGTCTGTCTGGCTCTGCTCCCCTTTCTGTGTTGACCTTGCTCTTTGCTCCATCAAGGCTGTATGAGCAGGACTCCGCAATGGGCTCTGAGAGACCACTTTGTGGAAACTGACAGACGGTTTAAACTGGCCCCAGGCCATTTGCTCAGTCACTGCTCTCCCTGAGGCAGGGGCAGGGGCAGGCGCTAGGTGCACAGGACAATAGTTAACTGTGAGTGGAGTCTGGGAAACTGGCCTTTGGCTTCTGCCAATCTGTCGTGCATCTATAGAAGACAGATGCCCAGAGTGTCAGGCCTGACATCATCCCGATTTGTAGGCCCGACAGAAAGGGAACTTCATCTTGAGGCAACATGTGTCAGTCCTGGGGAAGCGGCGAATTACAGAATCGCTGGGGCCTGGCAGACCTGAGCCATGCCTACATCATGCCATTGGCAGCCACCATGACCGGGGTGCTGCATTTCCCAGAGAAGTAGGTGTTGTATGAGCAAAACCAAGAGAAGTCAGCTCCATTTTCTTTAAGACTTGATGACAAGGCCTGGTTGAAGTCACCCACGATTTTGGGCTTTATCTTTTCATTAGCAAAATGACCAAGACCTTATCATGACATAGAGGAGGGAGAAATTAATCCAACTGTGGACTTACTGTGTGCTAGGCCAGGAGGCTCCTTTCCAACCCTGGAACTTGGTGGAGTGGGGGAAGGTAGGATGTGACTTCTCCCTCCCTGCTTCTCAGTGTATCATGCTTCATGATACAACGGGGGATCGTGGTTAGATCATTAACATTTTTTTTTAAAGATTTTATTTATTTGACAGAGAGACACAGCGAGAGAGGGAACACAAGCAGGGGGAGTGGGAGAGGGAGAAACAGGCTTCCCGCTGAGCAGGGAGCCCAGTGTGGGGTTCGATTCCAGGACCGTGGGATCATGACCTGAGCCGAAGGCAGATGCTTAATGACTGAGCCACCCAGGTGCCCCAATCATTAACATTTTAACTACACTCCTGCTATAATGGACACCTGGGGTCATTTAAGATGCCACCTGTTTTCATATCCTTTTGGATGGATGAATTTTTTTCACTGTTCCACTGTGTAGATGAAAACAGCACCCTCCCTTGCATTTGCTTTTTGGAATCTGAAGATTTTGTAAAACAGATGAATGCGTTAGAACAAGTGGTCCCCAGATCTGTGCAGAATCCAGGCCTCTGGAGACTGCTGGCTGCCCCTCCCTGTCTAGTCTCTGCAGGCGAGCCGTTGGCAAGGGGAAGGAGGCCCACAGCTGCTGCATTTTCACCCTGTGATGGCTTTTTGAGCCGAGAGGAAGAGGTGGCCAACAGCAGCTGAGTGGTCAAAATTGGGATGGGCCTCTCTTGCCTCCTTTTCCTAGGCCGGGGTGGGCAGGAATAGGGAGAAAGAACACTTTCCTGCCTACTAAAAATGCTTCTTTCCTTGTACACTTGCAAGAGTGCCTCACCTAAGTGACGACTCATACTCAATTATAGTGGCAAAGATCTGTTCACATATGAAGATGAGCTCTAAGACTTGGATTGGTTGGGTGCAGGGGTCTGCAAACTATAACCCTGGGGCCAAATCTGGTTTTCCACCTGTGTTTGCAAATAAAGCATCATGGGAACACAGCCATCCCTGTTCATTTACAGATTGTCCATGGCTACAATGGCAGAAGTGAGTAGTTGTGGCAAAGATTGTATGGCCTACAAAGCCTAAAATCCTTACTATGTAGTCCTTTCGAGGAAAGGCTTGTTGACCTCTAGTCTAGTGGGTGCTTTGTAAAGTTTGATCGTTAGGGGGAGTCATTAAGTTGTTCAGCATGTATTAACTGAGCGTCTAGCCTGGGCTTGGCACTGCTCTGTGTACTGGGGACTTAGGGGTGAGAAAGAGCAACTAGGCCTCACCTCTCCTGAAGCATAATGCTGATGGAAGGGAGGGGCAATGAACAAGTAAATGAGATTTCTTGGATAATGGTAAGTGTTATTAAAGTGGAACAGGTGATGTGATAGAGGGTGACTGGTATCAGGGAAGGCCCCAGTGAGGAGGTGAGCTTTAAGCCGAGTTCTGAAGAAGAGAAGGAGTCAGGTATGCCACGATCTGCAGGAAGAGTTGCTCAGGTGCAGGGGTCCGTAATTGCAAAGGCTCTGAAGAGGAAACGAGCTTCATGAGTTTGAGGAACAGCAAAGAGGCCATGCCCTGGGATAGTTTAATCTTTAGAGGATGGGCAGGAGGAAGGAACTGCCGAAGAAACCAAGAGGAAGTGGCCCCTGAGGGAGGGTAAATCCAGGAGAGGGTAGTGGCAAGTGGTTGGTGCTCCATCCACTTAGTGATGAATGAATGAATACTCAGTAATATTACTGGTCATGATCAATCCACATGGACTCATATGGAGACCATGTCAGCAACTCATGCTTGTCTTCTCTTCAGGATGAGCCATATGAAACTGCCATTTTTTTAGGTCAAAAATGGTTGAATAGCCAACCCACCATACATGTATACTGAAATTAAATAAATGGCTGGTGGATGGTGGGAGGTAGGTTTCTCACTATTGGGGTAGAGGGTGACAGGCTACAAAGAGAGAGCTAGAATGATCTGTGTGGGAATGGATCAGAGTTGGAGACAGAGTATGAACTCAACGTTTACCTTCACATATACAGATGGTTGCACGTAGAAATAGTTACACATATGTGCATACACATAGGTTAGTTCCCTGCTCTTTTAGCTGAGGGGAGGCTAGAAGGAATGACATCCCAGTAGTACCCAACACCTAGTGCCCAGATCTTCATTCTCTAGGAAACACCACTCTCCAATACAAGGAATGGGGACTCCTTGGGAAATGTCTAATTCTAGGATGGGGGTAGAAAATACATAAGATGAGCCAGGAGCATCTTGCAGGGTTAGAAAGTAGGTCTTTCCGACTTTTTGCGTTTTCCTTTAGCATAAAAGGAAGTGCTAAACCAAAACAAAGCGCCACATTTTTTTTTTTTTAAGATTTTATTTATTTCTTTGACAGAGAGAGGGAGAGCACAAGTAGGGGGAGCAGCAGGCAGAGGGAGAGGGAGAAGCAGGCTCCCCGCTGAGCAGGGAGCCCGATGCGGGTTGGATCCCAGGACCCTGGGATCATGACCCGAGCCAAAGGCAGACACTTAACCAACTGAGCCACCCAGGCGCCCCCAAAACGCCACATTGATGGGGGTATGTCCCAGGGATACGAGCCAACGGAACGAGCTCCCAATGGTCAATGCTGGAACAGTCTGAACACAAGATAAAGTAGTATTGGATTATAATCCAAAGTATAAAATAAGTATCTATGATTCCGTATTGATATAAATAAATGATTGAAGAAGTAAATAAATGATACAGAAGAGACAAATCTGTCTTGTAATAGAATTCCAAATTTATGTAGTTCCTCCACCCTCCAGGAAATGGAGGATAACCCCCACTCCTCAAGTGTTGACTTCTTGTAATGGCTTCTTCCAAAGGGACCGTGTGAAAAAGGGGGACAAAGAATAACTTTGTAGTGAAGAAAACTGACACAACCTCAGCCAAGTGGTGAAGGTGAAGGTCAACAGCCGTAAGGCATCTTGGGAGTGCACACCCTGGATACGAAGTGATGTCAATGAGACTTCCTCTGGGATCTTTCTCCTCAAAACACACAAGTCTTCATCTAATGAGAAAAATATCAGACAAATCCCTATCGAGGAACATTCTAACAAAACACCTGACCAGTATTCCCCAAAAGTGTCAAGGTCATCAATGTGGTATCCTAGCATAGAAAATAAAAGGACATTAGGTAAAAAATAAGAAAGTCTGAATAAATAGGCACTTTAGTTAATAATAATGCATCAATATGTGAGGCACACGGGAACTCTGTGCAATCTTCACCATTTTCCTGAAACCATTGTAAAATGAAAAGTTTAAACATTTATTAAAAAAAAAAAAGTTGAGCTCCCAGCCTAGTGCCATCTCTTGGAAACCTCCACACCATGAGGGCCAAGTGGAGGAAGAAGCGAATGCACAGGCTGAATTGAAAAAGAAGAGGAGGCAGAGGTTCAAATAAAGCAGTAGCTTGTGCTACAGAAGCAGAAATAAGGAAAGCCAGGGGGCAGGGACGCTGGAACAAATTGTTGGACTGCATGCTTACTTTCTAGAACTTGATTCAATGGATCAACAACATCCATCACTATCTGAAGGCAATGACCACCCCCCCCTTTTTTTTTTTCAGATAGGCTCCTTGCCCAGCGTGGAGCCCAATGTGAGGCTTGATTGACCCTGAGATCAAGACCTGAGCTGAGATCAAGAGTCAGACACTTAAACCAACTGAGCCACCCAGGCTCCCAGCAATGACCACCTTTGAGACACCCACCTTGCTCATGCTAAAACAGTCCCTTTTGGTCCTTTGCCCAGGACCTGTGACTTTTGGGACTAATTCTGTTTTCATTTGTGGCTGAATGTAACACGTATACAATACATCATCTCTTCTGCCGTCTTAGCTGAAGAAAAAAAGGTTGAATACCAGAAGTGTCATATGCTGGACCTAGTACTTGTGTTACCTGGTTTAGTTTGTGAGCATGAATTTGTATCATGCCATCTAAGCTCTGTCACCTGACAGAAGTAAGAGACAAAAAACCAAAGTCAGGAAATGGCCCAACATGAAGACTGCGTGCATTGGTGTCCCCGAAAATGCCAAGGAGAAGAGAGGGAGGGGTCAGCAAGCTATAGCCTGAGGGTCAAATCCACTTGACCACCCATTTTTGTTAAAGTTTTACTGGAACACAGCCATGCTCATTCACTTCTGTATTGTCTGTGGCTACTTCTGAGTGACAACTGCAGAAGTGAGTCGTTGCAACAGAGATTGGATGGCCCACAAAATATTTACTGTCTGTCTAGTCCTGCAGAGGGGACCCAGGTTCTGTCATCATCCCTAAGCAGGAATGGCGAGGAATCCCCATCTCGGGACAAGTCGGTCTTTTAAAAACAGAGCACACAGCTAGGCAAAGCCCAAGGTTCTTTGGAACTGAAATGGATCATTAATATTGAATGTTTACAACCTACTTGCTCCAGATGATTCAATTTAATTTCTCCTGTCTGTCGTAACAGAGCTCCCACGTGCAGGGGTCGGGGCTGTATATCTTCATTGGCTTTCTGAGGCTTCGGAGCCTATTGATTCTGCGAAATGTACATTTCTCTGAAAAGAACATCTCTTGACATGACAGGAGATCACACATTGCTTGTTTCCTGTCCCTTTCACTCCCCTCTGAACATGATAAAATCATTATCCCAGCATCTCTGAGGGACCCTCGTGTCTCTTGGAAGCAGGGCTCCTTTTGCTTGCTTTCCTTTTAAATCTCTTTCAAGCCAGTGAGGCAGGGTAGAAATTTTTACTGGCTTTAGAGCCAGCCAGATGCGAGTGCAAGTCCTGTGTCTGTTACTTCCTGGGCTGTTTGATTTTGGCTGAGCTACCTCATGTCCCCGAGTCTTAGGCTGTTCTGTAGTAAAATGGGGATGATGGTTGCAGTGCAGGGTGCTTCTGAGGATTTGGGCAAGTGATGCTTCCAGAACAACCGCTACGGGTTGTTCTGCATACGGGGCTTGCTGCATGGTATCACTCCTTCACAGAGGGATGGCATTCGGCTGGTATCCGCTGGTGTAGCTGTGACTATGTTTTACAACCAGCCATTGCAGCTGATTGGTCCGTGCCCATGCCATGACAGATGTTCAATATCTGGGAAATCATCCCTGGGGAGAGACAGATTCTCCTCTTCCTTTCAGATCCTCAGACAATTTCATTGGTCTACACAAGTGCAGACCCTAGTTAGAGCCCAGCTCCCCTTTAACTGTCCACCTCTCCCTAGCTGCTGGGAGCGCTGGGTGCTACGAGCTCACAGCTGGGCCCTGTTCCAGAGAATTGTCCTCTTCAGGTGCGAGCCGCCTCACCCCGGAGGGGATGCCATGCTCCAGTGACTAACCGATATAGCAATAGGGGTTGCTGGCCCCTGACTTACGGTGGTGCAGTCTCTGAGAAAGGGCTCCCGGGGGGGATCACACCAAGGTGAGGCCGGTTCTCTCAGTTCCTCCCTGTTCTGCTTCTTGTGGCTTTCACTTCCCTTCTCTTGAGTGCCCTCCCTTAAAAACCCACAAATGCCCAAGTCCATTTGCAGCTCTGCTTCTAGGAAATCTGGCTCAAGACCATCAGTGTCTTGTTGTTACAGACCTAGATCTTTCTGCCACAACAGTGGTGGACCTTGGAGTCCGAGTGAGGAAGGGTCTGAGGGGTCATCTGCATGGAACTGGTTTTGTGGGGTTTGCAGGCAGGCAGGGACCCTGTGGCGGGTGTGACTCAAGGGTTTGGTCAAATACTTTTGTCCTTGGAAACATGCAAAAAAAAAATGGGATCAGACTCCAGGATTTCCTCCACACCATACCATGGCCCTGTTGTCTGTTGTGCTACTGGAAGGCACTGAGTTTAGAAGGAGTGTATCTGTATGTGTGATATGTGAATGCAACTATTTGTGTGTACATGCATTTACGTGTGCGGCTCTGTGTGTGTGCATGTGTGTGTGTGAGCCCTGCTCTGGCCCAGGGCATCTGCCTGGGCTGGTCCAGCCTGTCTCTGCTCCGGGACTCTCAGGTGGTGGACAGCTGGCAAACGAGGAGGGCACTGGGATGCCTTGTTCATCGGGACTCTTGACCATCCCCACCATATTGGGCCTCTTGGCCTCTTGGGCACCACTTGGCCTCTGCTGGCTTTGAGGGCCTGCCAGAGATGCCATCTGGTCTGGGAAATGTTCTCAGCCTGGGCACAGCCCACTGACCACTGCCTGCTGGTGACTTCTCCATCCAGGAAAACAGCACAGCCTGACCTGAGTGAGCACTGGGAGGGGGCCATGTCTTGGGACAGGCTGCTTTGGGGTCAACCTGGTTTCTGGACCTGGTGCTGCCACTAAGGTGTAAAGGAGATTGGGTCAGTTACTGGCCACTGGCTCCATCCTAAGCCTGACTAGGGGAGAGCTAGCCTCTCTCTGGGTTTGCACGGTCTGGACCACCTCTGCCCAGGGGTTGGGTTGGGGGAAGACATGAATGTCTGGAGCAGTGTGGTATTAGTCAGCCCTCATGTTTGCAAGGGTTAGAAACCTAGCTCGATCTAGCTTATGCAAATGTCTCCAAAATCCAAGGAAGGGCAGGACGTAGCTGTGCTTCCGGATGGAACCCTTGGAACCAAGGACTGAGCTCCTTCTTTACTTAGGCACAGAACTAAGGAGTCTGTCGTCTTTTTCTCTTTTGATTCTCACACTGATGAGGGAACTGAGTTTCAGAGCAGTTAGGTGACCTCCCAAGATCACACAAATCATCCTAAGTGGTGTCCCTGACCCCAAAGCCTGAGTTATTAGCCACCAAGCATTGTATCAAGGTATTAGTTAGGGTTGGCTAAACTGCTGTAACAAGTAGACCCAACACCGAATGGCGCACACACGACAGAAGTTTCTTTCTGATGCGTGTTACAGTTCAGGATGGTCGCAGGTGAACAGGGAGGGCTTGGTCTGTGTTACACACAGTTGTGTGGGGCACAAGCTCACAGCGTCTGTGCCATCTCCAACATGTGGCTTTTTTTTTTTTTTAAAGATTCTATTTATTTATTTGACAGAGAGAGACACAACGAGAGAGGGGACACAAGCAAGGGGAGTGGGAGAGGGAGGAGCAGGCCTCCCGCAGAGCAGGGAGCCCGACATGGGGCTTGATCCCAAGACCCTGGAATCATGACCTGAGCCAAAGGTGGATGCCTAACGACTGAGCCACCCAGGCGCCCCAACATGTGGCTTCTAAGGTGACCTTGGAGACACAGCATGGTGGAGCACACATGGTAGAATTTTATGGACCAGAACAGGAAGTGGCACATCGGTTCCATTCGCCTTCCATTGACTCATGCTTGCTGTGTGGCTCCCCCTTGGTGCAAGGTCTGCTGGGAAATCTGATTAGCTGCATGCCCGAGAGAAAGGGAAGGACCAAAGCTAATGGGCAGCCCATGATAAGTATTACCATCCTTTCTTGTTCTCTTCTTGTCCTTGTTCATAAGTAGTTTTCATACTCAGAGCCATAACATATATTCTAGTTTTCTTTCTTTCATTTATCATAATCCTTTTTCTGTATGGCTCCACTGAGTTTCCTAATGATCATGGTTATGGGCTGTGTACACCAATTGTTGGACAGTTAACTTGTTCCAGGTTTTTTTAGATAATAAAACAGTAAACACCTTTATGCAAAAAAACCTTTGGTACTGTTGAATTATTTCTATAAATTCTCAGGAGTGGGGATACCAAGTTGAATGAGTGAGCTTTTTTATGGCTTTTGATATGATTACCTTATTGCTTTCCAAAGGACTCATGGCCTTCTACAAAGATACTCATAGTGTTGTCAGCATTGGGTGCAGAAGTTTTTTTTCTCATTTAGTTGTTGTGAAATGGTTCTTTCGTTTATTATGATAGCCTTTTCCAGGTCTGAACCATTGGGTAGGAATTATTGTGTGTGTGTATTTGGCCTAAGTCATACCTTCTGTAAGTTTAGCCCTTTCTTTTGTCTTTGGGAGTGACAAGACCATTTACTCGATGAACAAAAACTTAGGGAGCACCTGTTATGTGCTGGGCAGTTGTCTAGGCCACGGGCATATGG